GGAGGAAAACTGAAATTTTAAAAAATTGTAACAAACTTAAGGGAGAAAATATAAGCATTGTACATGAACAAACCCCCAAACAAAGATATGAGTCCAGTATTCTTAGAAAGCATTTAAATTTGGCAAAACAAGATAAACAAAACAACTGTTATATTAAACGAAATAAGTTATATGTAAATGAAAATATTTATTCTGTTGAAAACTTGTTAGGCGTAGAAGAACTAGCGAACAACCTAAACAAAAAATCTGATGTCTCCAACACATGACTTTCCTATCTAGTTATTACAGACTTTTTCCGGTTATTTTGTACAACCTATTGCAGCATCTCTATAAATGTTTAGAGGATAAACTAAATATATACATTGTCCACATACATCATACCGCGAAACATTTTTCTATAGATATTCATTGAAAATGAAAATACTGAAAAATTTAAATTTAGCACTTTTCCTACAATTTTTCCATTACGGTCCATTTTAAAAAAATCATGTATGAACAAATATTATAGAGATCGATATCGCAAACAACTTTTATTTCAACAATTTTCATAAAAATCAGAATTTTGCACATTTTGTCAAATTTTTCGAATACGGACCATTTCAGGAAATTTTTACATAAAGCAAAAATTATAGATAATAATATTAGAAGTAACTTTTATTTGAACAATTTTTTTCTCCAAACATAAATAACAGATATATTCCATAAAATATAAAAACGGCCTCCCATAAAGTACCCCCCCAGATGTTCCGACTTTGTCCAAAATCTAATCATTTCACGTCAGGCCGAAATAAAACTTAAGTTTAAAATTTAATGTTTTTTTCTTTATCCGTTTTTGAGTTTTCTTCAAATTTCGAAATTTACACATTTTCTCAAATATCTTGAATACGGTCTATTTTAGAGAAATTATCTATAGGATAAAAATTATAGAGAATTATATTACAAACAACTTTTGTTTGAACAATTTTTATAAAAAAAAATATTTTTTTAAATTTTGTCAAATTTCACGAATACGGACCATTTTAGGAAAATTTTGTAAATAACAAAAATTATAGATAATAAAATAAGAAGTAACTTTCATTTGAAGAATTTTCTTCCCCAAACGTAAATAACAGATATATTCCATAAAATATAAAAATGGCCACCCATAAAGTACCCCCCCAGATGTTCCGACTCTGCCCAAAATCTAATCAGCTCATTAGACGCTGGAACAAAGCTTAAGTTTGAAATTTGGTGTTTTTCTGTGTATCGGTTCATGAGTTATGCGTTATACACACACACACACACACACACACACACACACACACACACACACACACACACACACACACACACACACACACACACACACACACACACACACACACACACACACACACACACACACACACACACACACACACACACACACACACACACACACACACACACACACACACACACACACACACACACACACACACACACACACACACACACACACACACACACACACACACACACACACACACACACACACACACACACACACACACACACACACACACACACACACACACACACACACACACACACACACACACACACACACACACACACACACACACACACACACACACACACACACACACACACACACACACACACACACACACACACACACACACACACACACACACACACACACACACACACACACACACACACACACACACACACACACACACACACACACACACACACACACACACACACACACACACACACACACACACACACACACACACACACACACACACACACACACACACACACACACACACACACACACACACACACACACACACACACACACACACACACACACACACACACACACACACACACACACACACACACACACACACACACACACACACACACACACACACACACACACACACACACACACACACACACACACACACACACACACACACACACACACACACACACACACACACACACACACACACACACACACACACACACACACACACACACACACACACACACACACACACACACACACACACACACACACACACACACACACACACACACACACACACACACACACACACACACACACACACACACACACACACACACACACACACACACACACACACACACACACACACACACACACACACACACACACACACACACACACACACACACACACACACACACACACACACACACACACACACACACACACACACACACACACACACACACACACCTATACACGTTTCACCATACATGTGGGCCCATGGGAATAATACCGTACTGTGGGGACATTGAAACTGCGCACATAGCAATATAGATCTCCTCGCGCTGATTCTAACGCTATCTTTAAAATATCTATACACTCCAAATAAACACCTTACACACTATGAAAAAGTTGTGGGGTCAGACCCTACAAGTATTTAGACGTCAAATATGTGTAATGGTGTCCTTTTAATTATTGTAACGTTGGAATGTGGGTATACGTGAACCCACAAGTAATGTAGATATTGTTTTGTGTATGAGTGTTCCCATAAATATATGAGTCTACTTATGTTTATTTTCCTGTACTCAGAACTTATGCATAATATAAAAAGATACACATGAACTCATAAGAAATGGAAAATCAAATTTTAGTGTAATTTAAACAAGAAGATAATATAAAAAAAAGGATTGGTTAAAGTTATATAGTGGTATATAATAATTTCTAACAAATCTTTAAACATTTCAATTGAGATATGTGTTTAAAAGTTTTGAATTGACACTCGCTCTGGCATAAAAATATAAGTTACATGGTCGCCCTGTGGAGCGGGAGGACAGAATAGCTCTATCCAGACATTCACCTTTGGGGTTGTAAAAGCCCACCAAATGACCACTTTTGGAAAAGGGGCATCTAGTGACGTTGGTGACGTTATTAGCCTGTAGGACTCGGCAATTTGTCAACCAGCAGGCTTTTAACTAGTTGAGAGG